TACAGTAGATTGGTTATTTAAAATTGGATAGATAGATATATGTACGGTTGGTTTGTTGTATTGAATTGGATAGATTATATGTACGGTTATTTAGAATTGGTTATATAGATAAATAAATTGGATTGGCCATTTTGAGTTGGATAAATAGAGTTTGTTTGTCCTTTTGAATTGGTTAAATAGACACACGGGCTAGAATTCCACTACATAGAGAGAAGAGAAGGTCAAATTTGCAGGAAAACAATACTTGTAACATACTACGTATATACGTTCCTCTACCGCTTTAGTGGATGTAAATTCAAATATAAGCAGCCTGAATGACCAAGCGAGACAGTCCAAACCAGGACTGGCAAAGATTGGCCCAGCTCGGATGTTCAAATGTACACATTAACAATGTTTTTGTTCTTCTCTTATTTTTTTTTAATAAGTTATGATTGAAAACATAAAAGATAACGTGAAATATACTTTAATTTAAGGTGACAAGGTGAGAGGTTAACAGTTATACAATGAAAAAATAAGTAAAAAACTTTTAATCTATGTTTGCTGGTGAATGATTATAGTAAAATATATAATAGTTAAAGGAAAAGACAATATTTGATTAGTATTAGGTATGTTTACCCAAGAGAAGGAAAAGAAAGAGCACACTATCAAACCATCCAACTAATCATCTACATACAATATTAAACTTTTTAAAATCCTTTTTACAATTAACGGGGTTATACCGTAAAATTGGGTATCAGGGGGGGGGGGGTTGCAATATTCAGTTTACACCATAAACCTCTATTTTAGTTTTTGAGAGAAGTTTCTAAATCGTAGTAATGTTGAATTGAAGTTCTAAAATACAACGGAAAACTAGTAATTTTCGTAAAAACTCTTAAAACTTTTAAACACGAATTTGAGACCAAACAAATACTTGGGCACGCTTGCGGCGCCCCTAAATCTTTTAAATAATGGTTGTTAGAATCTATATATTTATCTATATTATCCTGAATCCGTTGTAATTTTGTATAAAAAAGCTGTAAAATATATGTTTTTTTGCAATCTTTACATCTCCTATACGTAACCTATGCACTATGCTCTCTATAAAGCAATATTGAGAGGATACAGGATCTAATTATAAATTGAAATCATTATAAAGCAATGCTTGCTACAATTCATACAATATTTGTAAATGAAAAGATTATCAGAATATATTCATTTGTCCAGTCTTAACATGAAACACAAGACAAATGGATTTTAAGAGGAGCTTTGTTACAAAAACAAGTCAACCCCCCCCACCCCCTCAAATAGTCCACCATGTACCATAAGCTTCAAAAACTAAATTATCAAAAGTACAGAGTACAGAGTACTTACACAAGTAATAAAAAAATGCTTTCATTTATCAGCATCACTCTTCACTAAACCCAACTATTTCTTTGTCAATGTAATCAAGATCTCATCAGCACAAACAGAAAACTATCAAACAAGGGAACTATCAAACAAGGAAACCACCAAACAAGTAAACTATTAAACAAGGAAACTATCAAACGAGAAAATTATCAAACAAGGAAAACATCAAACAAGGAAACATTCAAGCAAGGAAACTATCAAACAAGGATACTATATAACTAGAAAACTACCAAACAAGGAAAACATCAAACAAGGAAACTTTAAAAACATGGACACTATCAAACAAGAAAACTATCAAACAAGGAAACTATCAAACAAGGAAACTATCAAACGAGAAAATTATCAAACAAGGAAAACATCAAACAAGGAAACTTTAAAACATGGACACTATCAAACAAGGAAACTATTAAACAAGGAAACTATCAAACAAGGAAACAATCAAACAAGGAAACTTTCAAGCAAGGAAACTTTAAAACAAGGAAACCACCAAACAAGGAAACTATTAAACAAGGAAATTAGCAAGCAAGGAAAACTCAAAAAAACCGAAAAAGCAAATTCAACTAGATCAAAACTATTTTTAAACATAAAATGAATTGAAATGTGAGAGATGAGGTTCCCTGCAACATAATTTATCAAAGTATATTTTATATTATATTTGTTTTTCAGATTCTTGTGCTCGCAAACTACAAATGATTCAAGGTTTACTAATACAAAATCTACTGTACAAGCTGGAACTAAAATACAAAATCTACTGCAAAAGCTGGAGCTAAAATACAAAATCTTCTGCACAAGCTAGAACTACAATACAAAATCTACTGCACAAGCTTAAGCTGAAGTACAAAATGTACTGCACAAGCTGGAACTAAAATACAAAATCTACTGCACAAGCTGGAACTATAATACAAAATCAACTGCACAAGCTGGAGCTAAAATACAAAACCTACTACACAAGCTGGAACTAAAATACAAAATCTACTGCACAAGCTAGAGCTAAAGTACAAAATCTACTACACAAGCAGCTGGAGCTAAAAGACAAAATCTACTACACAAGCTGGAACTGAAATACAAAAACTACTGCACAAGCTGGAGCTAAAATACAATATCTACTGCACAAGCAGCTGGAGCTAAAATACAAAATCTACTGCACAAGCTGGAACTAAAATACTAAATCTACTGCACAGGCTAGAGATAAAATAAATTTCACGTAAAATTGGAGGCTTGTATGTTTGCAGTGGTTGCACCTCTTGTTGAAGTGCTATTGAGACGAATAGGAATGTTTTGAATATTTAACATACCACAGGATGACTTTACATTTTCATACTTGTGCAAAAAAATTAAAACTAGAGGAGCAACAAGGTCAAAAAGTCGTACAAGTAAAATCAGATAAAGTTGACCTTTGCCTTAATTCCGTCAAGTTAACAGGGACCAAACCGTTGTTTATGAACCACTGATATCTAGATATGATTAAGAGAATTATTCATTGAATATTTAGACAGCCTTGACTTTAAAGTGTCACACAGCCTTGGCCTTTAGTTTTACCTCACCAAGTCATTTAAACTTTTTTGTAGCCCTTGACATATGCGTTTTATTTCTGTAATATGCTTAATTCTACGTTAAGCTGAAAAAGAAGTAATTGGAAAAATACTGCTCGAATTTTGGGTGAGAGAGTGCACGTGCATCCCACTCTCTGCTTGTCTAAAGGATAAGGTAAAATCTATAAAACCTTCCGGTATGTTTTTGTGCTCCCTTAAACTTGGATTTTACGAGAAGAATTATCAAAGCACATTGTAAACAAGCTGATTATTACGTAGTTAATAATAATCTTGGTAATAATAAGTAAAATCTTCGTTTTTCTTTTTTGAAAAGTGTAAAATTCTCACATTTTCTTTTATTATCTCTGATGCAAAATCCACAAATCATTTTGTTAGAGAGCACAGAATTAAAAATAAATGTTAATCTAGAAAATCAAGAATATTTCATGTATCCAAAAAAGACGAGGGAGGCCTTTTTAACAAATTTTATGGAGTTTTTGCTATAAATCCGCAACTTAATCAGGTAGATTGCATCCCTTGGGTTGCAATCTAACATTGGTTTCAGGGTTGCAATGTAGATATCAGGGATTCAACAGTGGCATAATTTTGTTGAAAAAGTTAGAAAAAATATATATTCAACGAAACAGGAACAAATCATTTTTCTCAAACTCATTTTTAATCCTTTTCTAATCCTTATATTTTGTCAATCCGATGTTGTAGACCTTTAAAATTTTAAACTATAAAATTATTAGTAGTAAAGTTATTAGTAGTAGTTTAAAATATCAAAAGGTTTATATTATCAAGTTGCAAAGATATAGCGGTTACAAAATTAATATTTGTGGTTAGTTTTAATTTCCTTAATTTCTATTTGTCAGGGTTAAAATGGCCTAAAAACAAGCTTCTTTTAGCTACCCTTCTCTCCTCTGAGCTGTCACATGATTAAAAATTCTGGCTCTCTCTGTCTGGGAGTTATATCCTTCTCTTGCTGTTAATTGTAGATAGTAGCAGATAGTGCTAATGATCCTAGTCATTTCCTCTACCCGCCATCTTTACTCTTATTATACTTAGAATAGTTTTTTTTTCATCTTCTCCGTACATAAACATATTATGTATCAACAGTGGCAGAACACAAATTACGGGTTTTTGGCGAATTTTAAAAATAAAATAAAAACATTTTGTTTTTATTGAGGGGACGTTTTTGATTCATGGCCTAAACCATTACAGTGGCCTTTAATAAAAACGTGCAGACCAACAGAGTTCTTTTATAAACCGTCCTGTCTAACCAAAGTCTTACTTAAAAACGTGCCATCAAACTGCGTTTGAACCAAAAACGTCCTGCAAAGTGCATAACTTACAAATCACTAAAAATGAGCTGCAAAACCAAACTTTTTTCCTAAAAGGTGCATAGAAATTGAATTTTTACTTAAAACGTACTGAGCTGGGAACTTTTGAATGGTGGATATCGGGAATAATGCTTGTTCTCCTCTTGTTATTAATCTCCAGATTAATTAACCGATCTGGATTAAGGATATCCCATTCTAAAGTTTTCAGCTCTGGTCAAATAAGTTTTTACTTATGCGTAATTTCAAGTGACCCTCCATGCAAAGATGGTAATGACTGATTTGCAACGGAACCCTTGAAACTTTTTTCTGTTCAAAAAAGTGGAAGATTGAATTGTATTGAATTCTTGCCTATAACGTGCTGTCTAACTGGTTTGAAAAATTTGATATTTATAAAGGTACAAAGAATCAGAATGTACCAGTTTCAAATGAACAAAAAAAAACCACTTTATGTACGTATGTTTATATGTATGTACCGTCCCTCACATTTTATACCCATTCAGTTTCTACTAAGAATATTGTATTCTTTATGATGCCTTTATGGTATGTGTGCATGATTTATTTCCTAATAATGGGAGGGTTTTTTGCTATTGAAAATTACGCCAAGTTTGAATTTCCATTATAACCAATGGTTCAAGAAAGTTTAATATTTTTAATATTTTGAAAGAAAGAAAAGGTTCCAAACAAATCAGTGGGTTATTTTTAGAAATGCGCGAAAAAGCTTGAAAAACTTCGCAACATTAATCAGTAATCATTCAACCATAGAATGGAGAGAGTGAAAGTAAAAGTGGATGAGTCCCATTTTCCTAAAACATCCAAGGAGCAGAAAAATGGTAAATTTGAGGAACCAGTTGTCCTGGAGTCTGATAGAATGACATCCATCCTACTCCGAACAATGTATGTCCAGTGGGTAATAATTACTTTTCTCATTGGAATAATATTTGTTCGACTAGTCTACTCCACCGATGAAAACTGGACATTTTTTGTTAGTTCAACCTTAATCCTCTGTTTTGCTGTGATACCCATCATAATTACAATATCTTGCGTGGATTGTTGCTCGAAGAAAAAATCTAACAAAGTAGAAAAGAAGAAAGTTTCTAATGATGAAACTAATGACAAATCTAGCCCCACTAAGAAGATAAAGCCTAGAAAGTCTAGAAGTACTACTAGAAAAAGCAAGCCGAAACCTGCCACTGAAGAAGATACCCCAAAGTCTACTACGGTTTCCAATGAAACAACTGTGCCTGAGAAGAAACAGCCTAGAAGCGTGTCTAAGAAACGGAAAACAAGTAAGCCAAGAAGTATTTCAAAGAACCGAGTTAAAAGTAAGTCTAGAAGTGTATCCAAGAGAAGAAAACCCAGCAAATCAAGAAGTACATCAAGAAAGCCAAGTAAGCCGAGAAGTGTATCCAAGAGCCGCACCGCCAGCAAGCCTAGACCAGCTTCGAAGAAGAGAGAGATGGTTGATTCTCCTAGTATCACTGATGAAATCATTAATCTTTCCCAGTCTGTTTTTGGAGAACCCAGGAAAACTAGAAGTAAATCCAGACCTAGAAGCACATCTAAACCTAGAAGTTCTTCAAGGAAGCGTAGAAGCTCATCTAAACCTAGAAGTTCTTCAAGGAAGCGTAATTCCAGCAAACCTAGAAATGTTTCTAAGACCAGAAAGCCTAGAAGTGAATCAAAGAAGAGAGAACCCAGCAAGAACCAAAGTTTAAGGAAGCGTAATTCCAGCAAACCTAGAAATTTAAGTGCTGAACCCAAAGCTGAAACTGAAGATCCTTCTAAATCTGAAGAAAAGAAGATAAATCTTGAGATAAAAGTAGAATGTGTTGACGAGAACAACACTGCAGGAGTCTCAAATCTGAATGTTCATGCTCAAGTAGATAATGATCATCTTGATATGGAAACCCAGGTAAATTCATTTTACATTACTAAGTGTTTTTCAAATAAAATAAAATTATAGAGTCTGGTTAATTTAAAAAAACAAACAGAGTAAAGGAGTGCAATAAATAATTTCTCCTAATGAATTTCAAAAAGATAGAAATTAGTCAGATTTCAGAAGTTGTCTGTAAAGTTTAGTATTGTTTCTTTATCTATTGAACTTGAAAAACTAAGAATCAATCAATATCTTATTTTAGTTGGGATCCAAGGGTGCTGATGTTTACTCTGAGGCCAAGGTTGAGGATGAGGGAGAAAACAGCAGTATCAAGATCACTATTGATACTGAGCAACCAGATACAGGACTAGAGGTAGAGAATACTCTTATTGGAGATGAAAAGAGGATAACAGCTACTCTAGATAATGATGGAGTGGAACAAACCAAGAAGATTAAAATAGATCTTGAGACAGATTCAGATTCAGATCATCAAGAAGCAGAAGGACATATTCACATTGATAGCAAAAAAGCTTGAACTTATGATATAAATATTAAACATTTATGAACTATTCATTGAAATTAACCAAATACATATATTTATATAAAATATATAAATTCATTTAGTTGGCATTTTAACAATATATTTTAATAAATCTTAGTTTTAAATAAAAGTAATTAATAAGTACCAAGATTAACTATTTTCTATATTAAATTATTATTTTTTTGTTGTTTTAACTGCAGCTTAATCCTTAAATCGCGTTCACAGCATTTTGACTATATGAGATGAGAGCTAATTCTAAAATCCTTATTTACACTTCATCATATCTTCAGATTAAGTTTGAGGGATTTACTTAGTTCATGATGTACATCTTAAATATAAGACCCAATGATAATAAAAGATTATCTATTCATCCTGCCGTATTCAGTTTTCTTCAAGTACATCTAGTCAACTTAATAATAGTTAAAAAGTGAATGGTCGGATTAGTTTGGAAATAAACGAAGGTTGAAGAGATGTTCGAATGTTCTTTACCCCCCCCCCTCCCCCTCCCCGCCTTTTCAATTAGAATTTCTTTATGTATAGTGAAGGGTACAGAAAGTTGATAAGGCCGGTCGGTGGAAAAAAAATGAAAGAGTCCATCAAAAACGATATAATTCTTGTAATATCGTGAAGGATGAAGGGGGGGGGAGGATATTTTCTCTATGTTTCCTTTTATTGCTGAGTGTGGGGAAATGATCGGGGGAAAATGGTCGCTGCTAGGGATATAAAGAAATAATGTTACTTTTATCGAAATTTTTAGAGGATAGATGAACAGATATGAGGCCAGTGAAAATTCTTCCAAGGCAATTATGTGAAGGGTAAGGAATGGGACATCGCAGATGAATAGCACAGTAGAGGGAGTGTTCAAAAAAGAACCGACCTTGGTAATTCTTTTTACAAAACCACATCGGATAGAAGTTAACATATTACTAATGGATTAATTTTTTAAAGGGACTGTATGTGAAATTTACTCTAAACTAGTATTTAGGTGCGTACTGTGCGATCTGAACTACACACAAAGATTTGGATTTTAAAGGAGAATGAATTCCAAGTGATTCTACATGTAGAAAGAGGAATGTCCAATTTACCAAGTTTATTTTTAAACCTTTGATTGATAATCGATGACAGAGAGCTCCGTGAGTTTATCTGTAAAATGGTGTTCAAATTTCTGGAAGATTACATCGCACATCTTTCACTCAACGCAGCTGACTTTACATGTATTTAAATCGTGAAAATCCTAAAAATTCTTTGTTCATTTTCCAACATTTCCTACATCGTAAACAGCTTGAAAAAAGTCTGTAGATAAAAAAATAAGTTTGTCATCCTTGATCAGTCCAAGGATAAAAGGAACTGTTGTGAATCGAATTCACAAAACGGAGAGTCACTTGAAATTATATAAACAGCCCCTTCAATGATGGTCCATGAGCAAAGAGCATTGGTCAATGGTCATCCTTATTGTAATATCTAATTCTGAACAAAAAGAAGTTAGTTTTTTAAAGGAAAGGTGTAGTAGAAAGTCCTTAATTATTGTATCTAGAACGGTATATAGGGTCTGCCTGTTTATCTAGGAAGGTATATTGGGACTCCATGTATATCTAAGATGGTGTATAGGGACTCCCTGTATATCTAGGAAGGTATATTTGGACGCCCTGTATATATAGGAAGGTATATTGGGACTCCATGTATAGCTAGGAAGGTATATTGTAACTTCATGTATATCTAGGATGGTATATAGGAACTGCCTGTATATCTAGGAAGGTATATTGGGACTCCCTGCATATCTGAGATGGTATAGGACTCCATGTATATCTAGGAAGGTATATTTGGACTCCCTGTATATCTAGGATGGTATATTGGGACTCTCTGTATAACTAGGATGATATATTGGGACTCACTGTATATCCAGGATGGTATATTGGGACTCCCTGTATATCTAGGATGGTATATTGGGACTCCCTGTATATCTAGGAAGGAGCTGGTATCTAAGAATGTATTCATGAGATGAACTGTAATAAAGTTGAATCAAGTAATCCTATAGGGATACCACCATACCTTCCCTATATAGGGAAGCAGTAAATGCCTTACTCTTAAAACTTCGTACCAAACTGTATCAGTCCAGGTACATCCCGCCCGCTAGTAAAGTCAAACAGGGCAAGATCCACACGGCTACAATTCCGTGAACTTTCAATGCCACTAGCACTTCGCCGCAATCTCGTTAGCTATCAGAGGCAATACAAATACTAGCTTTTAATTAAGTTTTAAATGCCACACAGAGACATGAGCATAGCTATCAAACAAGATATTTATCGAGCTCTAAATGTCACACAGGGACACAAGTGTAGCTATCAAACAAGCTATTAATTGAGGCTCTAAATGTCAGTAGAGATTATACAGCATTTGTCAGCACATTTGGGACCTTCTGCTACATACGAATACCGTTCGGCTTATGTCATACAGGCAGTGTGTACTCAAGGTTGCTGGCCCTGGCTATGGCTCATTTACCTGCAGAGTATTGGTTTAGTTACCTAGACAGATCTGTGGGGGTCCCTGGCCCAGTACAAGTTTTTAGTGATACACAAGAAGGGGATAAAGAATGTGAACGCAGATGCATTGTCAAGATCAGATCATTAAAATGAACCAACGAAGGAAGAGAACAAAGAGTACCAGGCAGATAATGAAGTGGGAGAACTCAAGATAACTTATGCTACAGATCTAGAAGGAGATCCAGCTGAGATAGCTAAAAAGAGGAAGAGGTTTGCCAGATATTCACCTGCCATGCACAGCATGAGTCAAGAAACAAGACATGAGATCATAAAAGGGAACAAGTTAAAGAAACTATAAGAAGTCTTGAAGGAAGTTATCCAATGGGTTGTAGAGGATCATGCACCACACATGCAGGAATTAAGAGGCAAAGTACAAGACTTGATGAAAATGAGACAAATCTTCAACCCTATGCTGTTCTTGGGTCTGGGTTTTTGACCCAAAGATCATACCTGGAAGCTTTAACAGGCTAAGATCATATTGGGCTGGACTGTGCAAGATTATTTGGAAAATATCTCCAGCTCTAGCGGAAGTAATGGAAGTGTACGAGAGAGGAAAATCCTGGCTAGTCAGCATTTATGTATTAAAAGAATTCAAAGAAGATAATGGTGTTCATGGATTTCCAAGTGATCCATCACATTTTGCAGTTTTGGAAACAGACAAGATGAGAGAAGTTCCAAATCTTATGCCAACTCCAAAATTCATGTATAGGGATCCAAAAGTTGTAGTTAGCACATGAACTGGAAACTTGTCATATAGGGAGGATAATATGTCTAACAACGAAAGTAATGAAGCAGTTAATCCCATTCCTGAAAACCAAGCAGAACTTGAAAATGGAATTATGGAGAACAATACATCTGGAGGAGTAGAAGCATCCCCTTCCCCCCCCCCCCTAACTGTCTGGAAAATGATGATGTAGATATGGAAACACAGAATAAGTTCATGGAAACCCAAGACAGAGATGAAGTTGAGTGGTCAACCAGTAACACAGGTTCTGATATCATTCTAGAACCAGACATCAACATGAACACAACAGATCTTATCAGAACACAGAAACAACAGAGAAATCAGCAACAAGGAGAATCCATGCAGAGAGGGATCAAAAGGAGTTAACAAGATATTCCATTTGTATCCTATGATGAACTGGAAGACACTCTAGATGACTTAGATCAACCTAAATGATGCAAATATGGCGTCAATTGCCTTTTAGGACAATGCAACTGCATGAAAGAGGAAGGAAAACAAACTCCCGTTCTCCAGGAACCACTGTACCTGGCCTCTTTAATAAGCACTCGGTATTTGTAGAAGATATAGAAGAATGGAAAAGAAACAAGAAAAAACATGGAGTGGCTCAAGTGTAGAAATACAGGATAGATAGCCATATTTCTCAAAATTCTCTTCTCCCTCCCCATTTGTAGCAAATATATAGGCCTATATTAAAAATTATCTTGTTCATTTTCCATATAGCTAAATGTGCCCTTTAGTAAATAATATGTAAATCATGTCTTGCGATTAACCCACTCAATGTACGAAGATATATAACTCCGTCAATCCCATATTGTGATTTCTTAACTACATTATATATAACAGTGCATAACTTGTAATTATGCTGCTAAGGACCCAATTCTAATCTAAAATGAAGAAATATACTTAGTTAATATAGAAACTCCCTAATGTTTACTGTGAGAGAGTAATTGTTCCATGTTTTAATAAACAGGTTGAGGATCGACCCCTTTGAATTTGGGATCGATAGTTATGAGCTTGCAATTGATATCGATAACAAGATTGCGCCCAGTGGTAGTGGCGTTGATAGATCGCAAGATTGTTTCCATGTGGTTCCCTGTTTTGATAAACAGGTTGAGGATCATCCCTTTTGATTTGGGATCAATAGTTGCAAACTTCCAATTGATATCAATATCTAACAAGATTGCGCCCAATGGTAGTGGCATTAATAGATCACGATATGGTATCCATGTTGTTCCCTGTTTTTTTTAAACAGGTTGAGGATCGTCCCATTTAATTTGGGATTGATAGTTATGGAATTGTAGCCGTGCGTTGTTGACATTGATAGCCAAAGGAAACTGAGTTGCACCTGGATAGATACTTGTTCAGGAAACTGTTATGAAGTAAGAAGTTTACTACATATATACATAGATGTAAAAAATTTAAAATTTATGTCCTTCTTTTATTTTATCCATGCTTTATTTTGTCTATCTATCTATCTATCTATCTATACTTGGACTAATTTATTCAACACTTTATAATGATATTCGACCCTTCGGATCTCTGCCAGAATCACTCTTTATTGCCATCACCCTACCCCTCCTTCCAATATTTTTCATTTTCCCCTACCTTCCTCCCTTTCCCTTCCCCTTCCTTCCTCTTCCTTCCTCATCATCTACTCTTCCTTCCCTTCCTCATCATTAGCCCCGATCCCATCCGTTTCCCTTCCTAATCATCTTCCCTCCCTTCCCTTCCTAATCATCTACCCTCTATTCTCTTCCTAATCATCTACCCTCCCTTCCCTTCC